AGGCGAAGCTTGCAGTGAGTTGAGATCCGGCCACTGCACTCCAGCCTGGGCGACAGAGCGAGACTCTGTCTCAAACAAACAAAAAAAAGGCCAGGTCAGGTGTGGTGGCTCATGCCTGCCTGTAATCCCAGCACTTTGGGAGGCCGAGGCGGGTGGATCACGAGGTCAGGAGATAGAGACCATCCTGGCTAACACAGTGAAACCCCGTCTCTACTAAAAATATACAAAAAAATTAGCCAGGCATGGTGGCGGGTGCCTGTAGTCCCAGCTACTCGGGAGGCTGAGGCAGGAGAATGGCGTGAACCTGGGAGGTAGAGGTTGCAGTGAGCCCAGATGGCGCCACTGCACTCTAGCCTGGGCGACAGAGTGAGACTCCGTCTCAAAAACAAAAAAAACAAAAAAAAAACACAAACAATTGCCGGGCACGGTGGCTCACATGTGTAATCCCAGCACTGTGGGAGGCTGAGGTGGGTGGATCACCTGAGGTCAGGAGTTCGAGACCATCTGACCAATATGGTGAAACCCGTCTCTACCAAAAATACAAAAATTAGCTGGGTGTGGTGGTGGGCGCCTGTAGTCCCAGTTACTCGGGAGGCTGAGACAGGAGAATTGCTTGAACCCGAGAGGAGGAGGTTGCAGTGAGCCGAGATCGCGCCATTTCACTCCAGGCTGGGTGACAGAGCGAGACTCTGTCTCAACAAAACAAAACAACAACAAAAATTCAAAATTAAAATAATACTAATTCTTTGATTTTTTTTACTTTCTACTTTTTTTCAGTCAGAAATTGCATGTTATAAAAATATTCTAAGGGTAAATAATCACCACAACACAAATAATACAGTACAAATAGATGAACTGATAAATTATTAGAATGACTCTAAAAATTACTCTAAAAAGTGCATTGCTCTATGTGTGTCACAGGTGGAAATATATTATCTCAGCTGCCACCATTGACCTGCCAAAAGCATTCTCGGAAGTCCCATTTAAAATGTTACCTTTAGTGGTTTGTCTTCAAGTTCTGTTCACAATGGTCTAACCTTGGGGCTGGGGAAAATAGGCAGGGCAGGTCTCAGTCTGTGTATGAACTTTCCTCACCTAAGGCTGACTTCTTTTGGTAAAAAATGTAAAAAGGAAACCGAGGTGACATCAATGTTGGAAGTTTAGGTAATGACCTATGTTTTCGTTTACAATCACAGAGCTAAGGAGAACTCAACTACCACCAGAAGATTTAAGAAACCTGCCTCTCAGAGAGAGGTCCAGTAGTTGAGTAGAAGGTAGTTTTGGGGGGCCCTTGGAATTCAAGCTAACACCTTCCTGCTTCTCCTTCTGTCCTTGAGCAGAGTGCTAACGTGCTAACCCAAACACTCGGTCTATGTTTGGTTTGTTTTTAAATGTGGAATGTTGGAAGCACATTATAATCGGATATTGTATTTGGGGAAAAGGAAGGAGAGAATGACAACCGGGTTAAGCACCCTGGGTTGGTACCACTAAACTGCATTTAACAGACCTAATAATCCCAGCGCTTACCTCCACCTTCAAATAGTTACTAAAAACCCACAGCAGTCTGCTAAGTGCTGGAGGGAACATCTGTCAAGATGGGATGTTTGGGTTCACAAGGAGATGACGAAGTAAGCAGAGAGCAGAGCAAACAGGAGTAACAGCACATGAGGCAGCGTATGGGAAGTGCTAAAGAAAAAGTGTAGAGAAAGCTGCAGATGCAGGAAACAGGTCACTAAGGCTTCACTAAAGAGCTGAGAATGGAAAAGGGCCTTGAAGACGCACACATTTGACACACCATCTGGCTTCACACACACAAATCTTCATTATTTTTACTGTTAATCCACTGCTGTGAATGTCTTGATTTACGGTATCAGCAAAGACTAGAGAAATGTCCTGTCTCAAGCTGCTAAGACTTTTTTCTTACCTGCCTTTGTAATTGTTGACATCGAACATCTTCTTTGCTCGATAGTATATAAGCTTCCAGGGCCGGGCAATGTTCCTACCTGAAGTCAGAAGAAAGGTGATCAGAGGGGCTCACATGACATGAAGTCACAATTGTAAAAGGAACGCAGAACAGCCCTTGTAACAACATGAACTATCCTAAGCCCCGTGTTAAGGCTGGGATTTCCTGTGTCCTGAACAAAGCTGTCTTGAAGAGCAGATATACACAATCACCAGTTTCCTTGGAGATCTCCGAAAACTAAATGCTGAGTACCCCGAGGCTCCAGCTTCCGGTCTATGTAATTTGTGGAAAGAATCCTTACAAGACAAAGTAATTTTAACATGATTTGAATTAAGAGGAAGAGAACACTACGGTGGAGAATACAGGGTAACAGTTCTCCAGAAGATGAACGACAAATCTTTCCCAAATCAGCTTTTCTCACTTTCTCACTTTAAGGTGAAATAATCCCTCAATGGGGGCGCACTAGCCTGTTTTTCTTCGTGGACTCCACAGAACACCTAAGAAATTATCCGCTTTAAATTCAAGAGAGATTTGTTTTGGCTCTGATCCTCCATGACAGCATGACCTTCTAACTTCACAAGCAGCACCTCCAGTCGGAGGGTTCCAGTTACAAAGCACACATATGGCCACACTTAAAAAACGTGGGAGACCACAGTGCGTATAAGGATGTGCTTTGTGTAGCGTACACCAAATATAAATAAGGAACAGGAGGAGAAACCAAAACCATAACTATTGCCAAGGAAGAAAGGTAAAAGTTGATCATTCAATTTTTTACACTGAACTTGGGAGACATGAACACATTCCAAATCCCCAAAAGTAGAGACTGGCAATAAGAATACCATCAGGGCAGGGTGAGGTGGCTCACACCTGTAATCCTGGCAGGTTGGGAGTCTGAGGAGGGTGGATCATGAGGTCAGGATATCGAGACCATCCTGGCTAACAAGGAGAAACCCTGTCTCTACTAAAAATACAAAAAATTAGCCGGGCGTCGTGGCAGGTGCCTGTAATCTCAGCTACTCGGAAGGCTGAGGCAGGAGAATCGTTTGAACCCCAGAGGTGGAGGTTGCAGTGAGCCGAGATTGCACCACTGCACTCTAGCCTGGGCAACAGAGCGAGACTCTGTCTCAAAAGAAAAAA